GTGTTTGTAATTTTCCTCCTAAAAGCAATGTTCAAAAGATAAAATTGTGCCAACTCTAATGCATGCACACATGTGCATAAATACATACAGTGTTATAATTTAAAATGGTTTCTAATTTATAGCATTACAAATTCACTAAAGCATTTTCTGTGGTAACTTTTTAGTAGAACTAGAGATTGTACTAGAATGACATTGTGACTTTGTACAATTAATTTCAATTCCAGTTCATAAGGGAGAAGGTTAACTAATAAAATATTTCGATCCTAGATTTCAAATACTTTTTAAATATTGCATGTACCAGAGGTCTAAACTCGTAGCTTGAGCTTTCTAAAGTCAAGGGATCTCTTAACAGCTATTAAGAAATACCAATAGTTTTTGTCAATGATGTTGGTAGGAATTAGGCAGGTGATTCTATGAGTTTCTGTTCTGTTTGAAAATTCTGAATTGAACAGTTTAATTTATCATCCACCCTTTGCAATATCTAGAGCCACATGTAAATACAAAAAAATCTTTAGTTTATCATATTTCTCTAAATGGCAAAGAGTCGGGTTAAATTGTTTAGAATTATTTGTATATTGCCATATATTGTTACTCTATTTTATTATATAATGATTTGTAAGGGTTCTTTTGTTTCTCTACGTGAAATTTGTGTGAAGATATGAATGGACATGATTGGCCATAGAAACTGAAAACTTTTTTCTAGGATACTTCACCTTAGACATTATTTGCAGATGTGCCAGAAAGTTCAAAATGTGTAGTTTTCAAAATATGAAGTGTTCTCAAATAGAATAATACCAGCAGATGAGATTATGACATTAGGCCTAGTTGAAATGAGTGAAAGTGGGAGTAGTTTAATTATCACAGGGTCCTATGCATGGGGGGGCTTCTTCTGAAACTCAAACCTATCTTGGCCAAGTAGACTTTCAGTTGGACAAATAGAAGGTTCGGTGTATTGATGAGTGAAAATTTTAGTTCACAAAGTAAATGTTGAAAATCTGCTTTTATTTCTACATGTTCTTTGTCTCTTAATATATAAATCAGCAAGTCACACAGGACACATTTACATTTAACTGGTATAGTTGTAAAATCTCAGACAAAGTATTGAAACAAATTATATGGTGCAAAGGTTCAGATTTACAAGAGCAGTGGACAGTTGTTTGGGATATGGCATACAAATCTTTTCTAGTAAAGATGGCAAAGTTCATATCTTTCATATTTTATTTATTTACCGAATTTATATGCTTCCCATCTCACTGTCAAACTGCTTCCCTGAGAAAGTTCTTTTTCCTTAAAAACAGATTACATATTTCTGAAGTATTTTGCAATTAAGCCCTTGTAGCATATTGTATGCAGCCATCTTTTCTGACTGCTAAGCCATGCTCTGTGAAATGTGAAGAATCTGTAGCATAGATTAACTGTAGCCAAAGGAACCAAGGTTGCTATCCAGCATCATAATGATCCCTTGGATGTAGGATGCTTTGCACTGCTGTATAATGGTTTTAAAAAGCAGAAAACTAAACTAAAAAGGAGTGGCAAGCCACTTGGTTCTGTCTATCTGAAGGCTTTTAGTAGCCTTGGCTGCTATTTATCCAGTTGAAGCAGTTGCTGTTTCTTATTTGAAACATGAACTTCCAAAGTAAAGAAGTGTGCTCCTGAATACAAAATAAAAGTATGGGTTTTGTTAATAGTACAGAACAGTAAAGATATAACATAATTGAATTATCTGACAAATACATTAGAGCTTAAGGAGGTTCAAGGCACTGATCAAGACAAAAATGATTTTGTTCATAATTAATATAAAAGTGCCCCTGAAGTTGCTTATGACTTTGGGGAGTGGATTTGAACATACCTTTCCTGTTTGTTTTGAATGTTGTAGCAGTTAGGGTGACAAATGGAAGAAGAATAGGAGGAGGAAAAGGGATAATGGCTGCTATGAATAGCACCAACTAATTCTGGCACTTAAACCTAGGCTTTTTGGTGGCCAAATGCCAAGCAGTTCATGGCCAGCTTATGGATCTTTTTTTTGTAACTGGGGATATCTGTTCTGCCTTTTGTGGAGCACTACCCATGCTCTTGAGACTGTTCAGGAAATATTTGAAAAGAAGTTCTGACTTTATTGCTGAGGTAGCTAGATATATAAAGGTAAAGCTACCAAGCGTGAGTTGCAGATATGCAATGCAAAGGAAGAGGATATTCCTTGTGCTGCTGCAAGCAAGAATGTCAAAATAGGACATCAATATCAATAGAAGAGAGTATAGCTCAGCGTTAAATTGTGTGGTTCTTGGTGGTCTCTGAGCATGGGTGTTTCCTTACAAGTGATTAATTACCTAACTACCATAGGTAGTTGAGTAATGAAATGTCTGCAAGAAAACAACTAAGCTCAGAGACACCAAGCGCCCCATAAGACATCAGTGATATTCCAGTTGTGTGAGGAAGGAACATCTGAAGGACCAGGCTTAGATTTTTCTTTCTGGAGATGCTGACAGTGGAGCATATGAGGTAGAGAGATTTCTTTCTATGAGTCTGATTTAAGTATCTCAGCATGGTACTGTATATGAGGGATTGGAAAATCCCTGGATAAGTGTGCTTAATGAATACAGTCAGCTTGGCAACAATTATTCTTGTGTTCCTTTGTTTATTGGGAGAGAGAGAATACGTAAAGTAAAATTAGATTAATGAGTTCTTGGGGAGAAAATAGGATGAAATGAAGTCTTTGGAAGAAAGCAGATGGAAAATAAGAAAAGGAAGAAAGAAAGAAATTTTAAGACTAGGTTTTTAAATTTTTAAGACTAGGTTTCTTGATGTGAAAGATTTAAGAATAATACTAGAAGGATTTGTTTTATTTTAACACATTTATTCCCAGATAAATCATGAGTTTATGATAAATGAATGGCAATTATTTGTGGAAAATAATGGGAATGTGAGGAAGCTGTAAATAAAGACTTTTTGAAGCATGATGTCAGCTTTGGAAGCCATATTGAGATTCAATACTCCCACACTGCCACAATTGAGCCTGAGAAAGTGGGTGGGGGGAATTCATTTGAGTATATCTAGTTAGACACATTAAAATTCTTTTGCTGATTCAAGGTCACTGAGTGTGGCGCATAATGAAAGAGGAATCTTTAGGATGGATGGTGATTGGACCATGTGATGTGGTGATGGCTAAAGCGGGGATGGATTTGTAGTTTTGAATTTTGCAAGGAAGCCCGAAACTTTCAGATTTGGGATTCCACAGATGGAAGCCCGAAACTTTCAGATTTGGGATTTGGGATTCCACAGATGTGCCAGTTATTATCCAAATAAAGGAACCTTTGAGAGATGTCTGTCTCGGAGTTATCGGTTGGAATGGAGGGTTGCTAGAACGCTGACATTTGATGCTGAAGCTGGTGGCATAGAGTTATGTTCTGTGAAGTTGGGAGTTGTTCTTAAAGGTGATGGTTTGTGAATGTTGTGGAGGTTTCATTGGCAATTTCCTCCCAGATTTATTTTGAACTGAAATCCAATGTGACAAGAGAAGAAATGGAGGCAGCAGTGGCAGTGGCAGCAGCAGCAGCAGCAGCAAGGTAACTAGTGAAGATCAGATCTCTTAAGAATCCAGCTAGGTGGATGGAGCATGATGTGGTGTCTATTGCTTTGTCTTCCAACCTGCAAGACTATAAATACTTTAGTATTAACAATGACCATACTATACTTGTATTTATTTCAAAGCAGTATGAGAACAATATTCAGAAACACTAAAATGCTTTAATGAAAGAAAGAAGAAATCAAAGACCTTCTGTTTCTTTGGCTACTCAGAGAACCCCCCAAAATGAGTGGGTCTTTCAAAACTGGCAAATAAGCAGCAGCACCTTCCCTGCATCTAAGTTATATCTCATTCACATTTCTAGCCAATTTATATAGCTCTAAACCACAACTAATCACATCTGTTTAAATAGTGTCATCTCACTTGCCAAGACAAGGAAGATACGTTTTTATCTTACCATCTTCTTGAAATGCTTCCCTGAATCCTGACAAGAATGAGACCATCTCAAAGTTAAGAAAATAACTTATACCAGGATATTAAAGGAGACAGGGGAGACCAGTACCTCAAAACTTGAAGAACTGCTAAAACATGGAATATTGATATCAATATCAGATCAAAACATTAAAGTTAACTTTTAAAAGGATGACGCATTAATGATTTTGGTGTCTCTGGAATATTTGCTTTATTTTGAAATATTACCAAATAAAATACAATGGAAAACTGAACCCGTGCATTTCTATTATTGAATAAGATTCTTATATATACCAAAGTATTACAGTTTCTGCTAAATCTCAAAATTGGTTGAATCCAAATTCAAAATGCCTTAAATTGTACTGAGCTACAATTGAACTATTTACTGTACTGTATGTGTCACACCATAATGCTGGGTTGGTTTCTGTGAAAACTGAAAAATTTTGTTCTGTTCTGTGGCCTTTGATTAGTTTGGTATTGAATGTTTTGCTAGCTAAATATATGTTACATTTTTGTTAAAAGTTTTAAATTACTATTTTTTGAATTATGGTATTACAGATCGTGTTAAATTATATTTACAAAAATATAAATACCTTGCCATTTGAAAGATCGAAGCTACATGTGAAGTTTAACTTTAAGCTGTAATATTGATAATTAAATACCTCTAGTTTATGTTGTTTTTGTGATGAGTCAGAGTGGGATACCAAAACAACAAAGTCACAAAACAGGTGAAGTCCTTTTAATTCCTTCAACTTGGCTTCAAAGATTCAATTATCATTGACTGGAGAAAAACTCCCCCACAAACAGTTGCAAAAAGGAAGAACTTCTGTTCAAACTCAAAATACATATAAATTATAAATAGAAAAAAACAACATAAACCATACTGAAGCAATTGATGAGACAAGGCAAGATAAGGGCTGAAAACGTCCACAGATATCAAAATACACACCCTGGGAAGGATGCCAGAACTCGGATAAGAACTGACAAACTAGAAATATTTTCACACTTTGCTTCCAGCAATGGCCCATGCGCAGTTTGTCCTTTTAAACAGTCCTCACAGCTGCAGCCCATGAAGGGGATCAAGGCCCTTTCTTCCCCTGTAGACCACACCATGCATGTTTCTCCCTTATCTGCTCCTCCCTGCGTGCCCTAGGATGAAGAGGGATGGGCCTGGATCTTCCTCTGAATGCCCAGCTGGCCTGTGCCCTTCCCCAGTTTCCTCCTTAACCTCTGGAGCCACACTGCCACTCCCTGTTGGCAGTTCCTCCTCTCCCTCAGAGTCAGATTCTAACAGGGGCATGACAGTTTTAGTAGGGATTTATAAATAAAGTTTTGCTGTTGCAGAAAAGAATTAATTTGAAATAAAAGTAATAGATAATTATGTATTCATTTGTAATTTTTGTCTTGTGTATATTGTACACATTATGTTTCAAAGGATTATAGCAAAAATTTAGGGAAGTATCAATATTAAAGATAAAACACATGAATTTAAAATGGTCTGTTTAAAAGGCTATTCTTGATTGCTTTAACAAATTGTATGTCTTGAAAATTACTGACTTGATATAAACTTTCAGCTTTGTTTTGTGTTTATTGTTAAACAAAATCTCTTGAGGGTTTTGATACGCTTTGTTATTGTTACAATTGTTATGATACAATTAAGAATTAATATACAGAAAAAGAATCCAGTTTTTTTCTGCATAGTACTCTGTTCCTTCTAATATTATAATTCCTTATTATTAAATAACATTACAGATTAATGATTAATGCTATGAAATGATTTAATTCATAAATACCGATGTTTGTGAAAATATTGCCACCATTTTAAATAACCATAAACCAGACAGTAACAGTTTTTCTTAAAACAAGATTTCTATACAAATCTACACAATACAATATTTTGAGTTAGTGCTCTGTATTGCAGTAGTCTATTCTGCATTCACTGTATTCTGCTGAACAGTAATTTTCTTGCTAGGAAAAAGAGTTTTCTTGTTTTCTCTCTCAATCCTACCCCTCTTTGGGAGGAAACTTAATTCTTTTTTCAGGGACAAGAAACTGATTCCTTTAACTAATGGATATGTGCAGTTATATTAAGTAACTCAGTGGCTCTTAATCTCACAGGATAAGTGTTCCCTAACTGTGAAACTAGCTATAATTCATGTTGCCTTAAAATTGTTGCATTTGTGAAGTGCTGTTTGTATGCAAGAATGTGCTTGAAGAGTCTGGTTTAGCATGTTGCCTAGTTAGAAAATTAGGATAATTATTGAACTAATAAACTTTTAGGGGAAATTTATATTGTGATCTGAAAAATGGGGCAAAAATAAAAGAGACAATTATATTTGGGCATCATTGTGCTTAGAGTAATCCATTAAAGGAGTTCATTTTTACTCATTGACATAACTTCTGCTCAGAGTATAAGGATGATAATTAGACTTCATGCATATATTAAAATTGCAAGGGAATATATCATGCTTCTACTTCTTTCTGAAATAAGTAAACCATAGGTGTATTCAGCATAGTATGTTTTTATATTAAAACGTGGATTGACAAATGTTATTGGCATGCATCATATTGTGATAAGTGATCAGGATGTTCCTACAACTCTAAAACTTTTATATATTTTTTGAGCTTTCAGGGTTGATGTTCCATAAAAGTATCTTTAAGTCTTGTTGAAAGGATAATTGATGTCTATTACTAGGTTTGAGCATCCCAAGAAAGGAAGATTCACTAGTAATGATTAGTGGAAATTATTTTTCTGTCATACTCTAAAAAGTTGTGTGTGTGAGGGCTCAACTAGCATTGTTATTATAGGAAGCCTTCACAGGAATGGAGAGGCTCTTGATTTACTGCCAGAAATTCTTTAGTTTCTGTCTCATGGAGACTCTTTTTGTTGTTCAGCCGTAAACAAAGTCTTCTATTTTGAATTGTTTTGATTTGGAGTGGCTGTTATGGCCGTAAAGGCATGTTCCTGATGGACATGCAGTATGTCTGTTGTGCTTGGATGATGGGCATTTAATTGATGCATGCCATCACTGTCAAGGCCTTTCAAAGCAAGCCCAGGATAATCATTCTTCCTGATTTTGAGTTCTTTTCTAGCAGGAGGTTTCGCTAGCAGTTACAAGGGATAAATCAGTACTGACCATAAGTCAGACTATATCGTGTCGAAAGCTAGGCAGCAATTAGCATTAGTAACAGTGGCTCAGGAAGTGTTGTTGCTCTCAGAATATCTGAGGGACAGTGGACCCCAGCATCTCTTAAAAATCCTGGTGTTAAAAATCCTGCACTTCTCGTTTGCCAACAGACAGAGAATTGCCTTTCATGAAATGCCCAAAAGAATCCAGCAAGGATTAGAGAGTTACCACCCTATGAAGCCAAAACAACAACAACAAACTCTGCCAAATATAAGGACAAAGATAGCCATGTCAAGCAGTTCTGGCCTTTGAAGTCTCATGCATTACCTAGTGTCAGATTCTCTTGTTTTGTTGTATGAACAGGAATCAATGTGGATTTATTGCTAAGCTTGTGACACCTTGCTAAGGCTGAGATATGTTTTCCCAAATGTCTTTCTGCGGAGGAAGATATGTCTGACAGTCCAAAATATCAGATAAATGAGCTTTCTCCAAAAGCCGGGAGAGGGCATTTGACCATCTCTGTTTCATGAAGTTCAGCCTGAATTGGAGTGGCTTGGCCTATCCCGAGGCAAAATACCATTTTTTAAATCCTGTATAAAGTTTATACTGGTCAGATAGATTTTGATGAAGTTGATTGCTCTTTATGATTTGAGATTGGAATCATCTTTTGGGAATGAGAATGAGGATTTAGAGATGTTTATTGTATCCAAGGTGCAGATACTAAAGTAGGACTGAAGCCAGTCACAAGTTCAGGCTCTGCCACTTACCCAGTTTGGGATATGTTGCTCTAGAGAGTCCAAGGTGATTTTATTTTTTTGTTTCAGCACAGCACTGATCTCTATCTCCTTGTATACGTCACTGAATAATTATCACTATTACCCAGTGGATCAGAAAGCAGGATATTAGATGAAATGTGGAATAAATTCCATTCTACCAATACCTTATTCGTTCAGGTCAAACACCACCACACCTATACGGGATATCAAATCATTTTGAGGGACGAGCATGCTCCGGTAATTCATCATTTGCTTAATTATATAGAAACAGGCATGACAAAATTAGTTCATAAAGAGGAAGCCTGCGTAGTACACCAGCAAATTAACATGGCCAGACCCTGCTGTGCTGCCATGCATGATTCATCTAAAGAGTGAAGCTACTGAGATAGGATGCATTACTATTCATACCAGACAGAACTTTTGCCTAAGCAGTAAGCCTGGGCTTTCTAATATCAAGGGTGGAAGAATAAGATCAAAATATGCATTGACTTGTATAGGTTTGAGGAAAAGGCTTAGGATTTAAATACTGACAGTTTTCTTTCTTGTCTTCAATTAAACTATTTATTTAACTGTGTCAAGTTTTGAAGCTTCTGTTATTTTTATTATTCTGTTATCTGTTATTCAGTTATTTCCTGGATGTGGAGTTGGATTCCTAGCGATGACTGATTTGAAGTCTGACAATTGTACTCTTTGGGATTAAATGAAGTCAAATATATTAAGAAGTTATGGGAGAATGGAGATGACTTGTACCATGCAGTGATAGGTGATAAAATTGGGAGTTAATAATGGAATGTAGCTATCTACCATGCTTTTATTTTACTCTATCATTTAAGAAGTAGTGGACCAAAGTCCACTCCCTCTTCATCAATATTGCCATTGAGAAACGTCACAGTTACAACCTACAAATTTTTATCCCCATTGTTTTAGAATCATAGCAGAGAATGTCTAGAAAAGTTTGGTCATTCAAACCCACACTGATATACGGTTCAGATGATAGCCCAAAACAGCAAAGTGTCCTAAATCCTTCTTCTAAGCACTGGATTTCTTGAATTAGTGACTGCATACATTCTTGCTCGTTTCACTAATAATATGTTTTGTTGGGATAGATTAAGCATTTTGATTGTGTTATCATAAAGCTACAGCTTTACACTCTCCATGGCTTAGCTTGAAAGAATAATTATGGGCCGTCAGAACTGTCTCGTAATGTGATAAACCTAGAGCTGTCCACCATTGGATCTTCTATCTCATCATTAGATATTGGTATCACTTGGGATACAATTGCATTACATTTTTTTTTTTTTACTAATCTAGGGGAGTTGCTAGCAGGGCAACATACCTGCATGTTGTTCACATGGCCCTGATTCAGATTTTCCTGGGAAGGATGGGGATGATATAATGGATATAAGAGAAAGCCTTGAAAGGCAGAGAGAAGATCCATTACCAAAGCAATGATCATATAAACAAGGCTTGAGCCAGATGAAGGAGGTGGCTTACAAAAATGCTTCAGTCACACCCACACCCACACCCCAATTCACTTGAAGATAAAAGAAGGAAGCACATTTGAACTTGCATGATTCTGTTACTCTAGTTGCCCTAGATCATTCTGTATATTTATGATAGTGAATGGGCTTAATATATGAGATGTCTCAGCTTTGGCATTTTGATCTAGAATATATTATGTTTTGCATATGTTGTTTTTATTGTTTAGTATTGTGAGCCACCCAATTTTTTTTTGCTTGAAATAGGCAGCCAGATAAATTTTCTGAATAAATGAAAAAAATTACAGTGTTTCATTTTCCACTTGAACATCCTTCAGTGCATAGACATATTCTTACAAAGCAATTTGTCATAGAATTCGCTAATCTTTATTCTCTAATTCTCCTTCATGGAATATTTAGTATTTTATCTGCATTAAAGTATAAACCCTTTGAGTTGCTCGCTATGACAGACTGTCAACCATAAAAGTGGTATTCTTATTACATAGTACTATAGCAAGATGTGCAGTTGAATTAACACTCAGAATAGATCTGCTGTTCCTATTTTTTTATGATCATGAAGTGGGTTTTACACTCAGATTTTCAATGATTTCATTTTTCTCTCTCTAGCTACAGAGTTGGAACCAGCATGCCATTCTTTGGATGTTAAAAAAAAATCCCTGATTTCATTTCTAGATGAAATTCAGTTTTTATGAAAGACAGTTTAGCTCTGTGTTTGTCATGGACATCAAAAGAGGAGTTTCCTAACTTCTCTGCAGAGAATTGCAGTTGCTTAACAGAGTCTGTCATTTCTGCCCATGTATTATCAAAGTTTCATTTGCCTCTAGCTGTGTGGGCCCATTCAACAAAAGTGTTGTTACATCAAAAGCAATCTTAGAAGGCATAACATTGCCACACATTTGTTGTGTTGCAACTTGAAGCATTTACTTTCATTTGGCACTACCATTAAGATTCTCAAAACATAATGCTATATTTGGTTGAGTAGTTCTGCCACCTTTACTTAACTGCTCTGCCCCTGATGAATGAGCTTGATCACTCATATGTAATAAATAGAAGCCTAGATGAAGGACAAGTTGTTTAGTTACAACAGAATTATCCAAGAGGCTCTTTGTGTGTTCACATGATTTTACACTACTTCCCAAAGTACATTAATCTGAAAAAAGAGGAAATATTCTCATAGCCTAAAGAAACCAAAAGGAACACTGTTAAGCCTTTTAGGTATGTGTGTTGGAGGACATCTAGATTGCCAAAATGGAACTCAGCTCTAGATAATTCTGATGCTACCAGTGGAAGTAGCATCAGAAAGGAGGAAATTCAAACATATGAATGTGCAAATGATCACAGTCAAGATACACAGTTACAAACAGGCATCTTGTTTTTCTGTCACTAACAATATAATCCTTTACAGGTAGTCTTCAATTTATAACAGTTTATTTAGTGACCATTTGAAGTTACAGCACTTTAAAAAGTGACAGCAGCATCCCCATGGTCATGTCAAAATTCAGATGCTTGGCAACTGACTCATATTTATGACGGTTGCAGTGTCCCAGGATCATGTAATCACCTTTTGGGAACTGACAAGCAAAATCAATGGGGAAGCCAGATTCACTTAACAGCAGTGTTAATAACAACTTCAGTGATACACGTAACAACTGGAACATGAAAGGTTGTAAAATGGGGCAAAACTTACTTAAAAAATGTCTCACTTAGAAATTTTGGGGTGAATTGTGATTGTAAATCAAGAGCTACCTGTATATGTCTATTCACAAATGAGTCCTATTAAATTCCTCTGGGTTTGGATAGTTGTGTAAGTATCAATTTACAGATGAAATAATAAAGAATTGCAAAGATTTTTATAGAAAGTTCTTAGTTTCAGCTCCAGGTATTATAAGTTACACTTAGAAGATACCAATTGCTTAGAATGAAAAGTAGTACTGCCTATATTTTTCAAGTATCCTAGCCTTTCCTATAGACTTTGCTCTCATGCTTAGTCTAAGCTGTTTTCAAAGAAATATCCTAAAATGAAAACACTGTAATTTATTACAATGAGTGCATCATTAATTGTAAGCAATTTCCCTTCTATTTGTCTACCACCACCACTGTCACCACCAAATTTTGAAACTGGACATTTCTTCATCTATCAGAAATAATTCAGCTTACTTTTTACAGCACTGCATTTTGTTTGCATGTAATAGCATGTAGATTTAAAAAAAGGTTCTCTCAGCAATTGTTTAGAAAAATACTTTCCAAAAGATCTGCAAGAGATTAGAATAACTGAGTGTTCCTTTCTGGCTTCCTGTTTTGGAATTAAATGCCTAAGGGTTCTCAGAATATCTTAGTTGAGAAAGAAAAGAGGAGAAAAAGAAAACCAAGCCAGCTTAACCTTTTCAGTACTTAAGTCTTTCGTATATGTTTAATTTCAGTTATTCTAAAAAAAGAAAAGATGAAACAATTTTCAAAACATATGAACTAAATCATGTTAATGGCTAATAATATATTTCCTTATATTTCCTTATATATGTATGGGTGGTTCCTGGCTCAATACTAGTAACTGCAAGAGGAATCTTGGAGTCCTAGTAGACAATCACTTAAATATGAGCCAGCAGTGTGCTGCAGCTGCTAAAAAAGGTAATACAGTTGCCTTTTAACAGAGGTATAGAATCAAGATCATGCGAAGTGTTAATACCACTTTATAATGCCTTGGTAAGACCACACTTGGAATAATGCATCCAATTTTGGTCCCCATGATGTAAAGAGGATGTTGAGACTCTAGAAAGAGTGCAGAGAAGAGCAACAAAGATTATTATGTTACAGGAGGCTATAACATATAAAGAATGGTTGTTGGAATTGGGTATGTCTAGCTTAATGAAAAGAAGGACAAGGGGTTCCAATATCTCAGGGGTTATTACAGAGAGGAGGAAGCTGAGCTATTCTCCAAAGCACCTGAAGGCAGGACAAAAACCAATAGATGGAAACTAATCAAGGAGAGAACCAACCTAGAACTAAGGAGAAATTTCCTGACAGAACAAATTAATCGATGGAACAACTTGCCTCCAAAAGTTGTGAATGCTCCAACACTGGAAGTTTTAAAGAAGGAAAGACCAGAAGGAAGACAAGAAGGAATGGATGGAAACTAATCAAGGAGAAAGGCAACCTCTGAGTGCTTCAGCATGGAGGCTTTTAAAAAGAGATTGGACAACTATTTGTCTGAAATGTATAGGGCTGTGATGGTGAACCTATGCCATGCATGCTGGAAGTGGCCATGCCAGCTGTTGCCTGTTGCTCTTCCGGGTTCCGGCGCATGCATGTGTGCTGACCAGCTGGTCTTTGCAAGCACATGCGCATTAGAAACTGGAAGACCAGGTGGCTGGTGCACATGCGCGCGCCAGGAAGCTAGGCTTCCAGTTTCTAGTGCTCCTGCCTGCGCGAGTCGGGGAGCCGCTCTTCTGATTTCCGGCGTGCACACGTGTGCTCACACACTCCCATGTCAGCCTTTGGTGCCAAAAAGGTTAGCTACCACTGGTATAGGGTTTCCTGCCTGAGCAGGAGGTTGGACTAGAAGACCTTCAAGGTCCCTTCCAACTCTCTTATTGTGCTCTGTTCCTTTTTTAGATTTTTTTTAAAATCCCACGTTTAATATTTTTATATATTTTATAAGCAACTCAAGGTGGTGAGCAAAGCTGATACTCCTTCCTCAAATGAGAGATGGGTTGGGCTGAAAAAAAGAGAAACCAGCTCAAGTCACCAGCCAGGATTAGAACTCACAATCTCTGGGTTTCTACCTTGGGTGCTAGGTAAATTTATAATTGTCCTTAACTGCTGTAAAGAAGATTGGAAATTACTTTGTATTTTCTATTTTTTTATTTTTATTTTCATGAACTTTTAGCTTTTTTTCTGACTTTTTCTTTTTACTTCATATTAGTTTGTATTGGTTTTTAATTTTTTAGAACTTTTAAAAAAGAAAAACAGATTATACTGATTTGAGTGCAATATAGATTTACTATGTTACATAATTTGATTTGCACTTCTGTAAATCAACTGGATATTTCTGAATAGTATACTGAACAGGATAAATAAAAATTAATAAGAGAAGATATTTACATCCTTGTTAACTTATTAATGATAATTTGTTTTGACCAATTGTACAATTAGTTCTTATATGAATTTAAAAGTACGTTGGATCTTTTTCTTTTTAGAGTTTATTCCATGATTGCTGTCTTTCTGTTGCTTACAGCATTTCTCTGGTCAATGAATGATATACTCCAGTTTTCCTTCTCTAAAAACATTATTCTAAACAACATTTAGAAATTGTGTTAATCATTGAGGACCATTATTTTTAACTAGGTTTTTCTTCTCTAATTTTCCCTCCCCCCACTCCTTTCTCCAATCTAAACATTTATTCAGGAGATGTGTGGAATAAATATTGACTGGCCTATTTATAATGAGGGCATGAATTCAGCAGCTGTAGAAATAATGTAAAAAGATATCAACAATCCCTTGCATTCTTTAACAAAATAAGCCAAAAATCTGTTGCTCCATTTTACATGTTTCTCGCCTGCATTATTTTTAGACTACCGAGATATGCACAAAATATTTTACTTAATAACTACTTCCAGTGCAATCGTATGTATATTTTTATGAAAGAAATGTCACTGAACATGCTTACTTGAATTAATTATATTTAACATTACAGTTCTATTTCAGGAGTTGAGAGCCATTTAGCGCAGTGCTTACGGTACCAGGTTAGAAACTGGGAGACTGTCGTTTCTAGTCTGGCCATGGGCAGGAAGCTAGCAAGATATCTGGGCCAGTCACACTCTTTCAGCCCTGAAAGTAGGCAATGGCAAACTACTTTCCAAATCTTTCCAAGAAAGCTGCAGTAACTTGCCCCAGAAGTTACTTGCCCCAGAAGTTAGTACTGACTTGAAGGCACATACACAAAAAGTACCTTTCAAGAACAGTTTACAATTATATTATTACAGAACCTGTTAAGAGGAATAGATAGTTTTAGGTTGCATAAATATTGAATAGGAGGTTTAGTACATAACTGTAGTTAGGAAATGTTAAATCATTTTATTTATTATTACTTCATTTTATAAATTATATTTTTATTCTGTTTTATAAGCTATTTGATCAACAACTTGTTAAACTAGCTTTGTGAATATGTTCTTAGATAATATCAATTTTTGGTATTGATAATATCAATTTTGGGGGTGATACGACAATCTTTTGTTGACTAATAATGTATGCTCTCTTTGGTCTACTGAAGTAATTAATATGAACAAATTACTGAGAGCCAATTTGGTGTAGTGGTTAAGGCATCGGCCTAAAAACTGGCAGACTATGAGTTCCCATCTTAGGCACCAAGCCATCTAGGTTACCTTAGGCCAGTCATTTCTCAGTCCTAGGAAAGAGGCAATGGGAAACCATTTCTGAAAATTCTTGCCAAATTCTTGCACCATCAAAATTGAATATCAAGTTGGAAAATCAGATGAGCATGCTAAGATCATATGCAAGCATGTAGGTGAATGTGTGTAGAGATCAAGGATAAATTTGTTGGCCATAATTCTAAAAAAAATACGTTTGGTGCAAAAGCAACATTGTGCATCACCAATACACCATACTCACAGTGAAGCGTGGTGGCAGAATTATGCTTTGGGGCTGCTTTTATTCAGCTGGAACTGGGGTTTTGTCCAGATGGAAGAATTATGAACAATTCCAAATATCAGTCAGTTTTGCAACTCCTAAAAACTTAAGATGGAGAGGAATGTCACCTTTCAACACGACAATGACCCAAATCATGCTTCCAAGTCAACAAACGATGGGTTTACAAGAAGAAGATCCAAGCCAGAACCTGGTCCTGAATCCAATTGAAAACCTGTGGAGTGACCCGAAGAGAGCTGTGCACAAGAGATTTGACAGATTTAGAGCACTTTTGCAGGAAGAGTGGGCAAAGATTCCCAAGGCAAGATTTGCCATGCTGATAGGCTCCTGTTTCAAAAAACTGAATGTCATAAAATCAAAGGTGCTTCAACAAAGTATTAGTTTTAAGGTGCGTACACTTATACAACAATATTATTGTATGTTTTTAATTGTTATTTCCTCCCCTAAAAGATTTCAGTTTGTTTTTCAATATAATTGTAGAAAGTATATGCTATATTAAAGGTAAAAAAAAATGTGAAATGATTTAAATTTCAGAAACCTGTCATTTTAGCAGGTGTGTAGATTTTTTCTATTCACTGTTTATATATGTAACATATAAACAACAATTTTACTTAGATTTCATCATTAGCATATTTTAGAATACTGCCACAGTTTAAAAATATAGTATTTAATCGTGGAAACAACTATATGAACAATGTATATTGCCTTAAACATACCAGTCTAAGGACTTTTATTGGGATTTAAAAAAGACCTCTAGTATATAACAAAAAAGATTGTAAAAAAATAATTTTAAAAGCAGACTTTGATTTTAACCTGATTT